ATTACTAAACAAAATTCCTCACTTTTTTATGGTAACATAACTTTAACTTCAAATATCTCCAAAAAATGAAAATGTTACTTATACCCTTTTTATTCTAACCCCTTCAATTGTATTAATACAGAAACTTTTATTTTTATTTTACATAGGTATGAAAATAAAATAAAATAATACCTATTCTTAAAAAAAAATAAACCACAGCCTACTCGGTCAAAAAAGAAATAAACAACAAAATAAATAAATATTCTAATTAGTCAAAAATTAATAGGTCAAATATCAAAATTTGGATTTAAAAATTTAATTTTTTTCATTTCAAATCCTAATTGTTCCCCTTTCAGCTTTATATAATTTTCTAAATAGTTTTTAATAGTCTCAAAATGTTTTTTTTGATTTTCTTCTCCTTGCTCAAATTTATCCTGCCATGGTTGGCCCAATGGATAATCTCCATCCATTGCATCCAAATATCGTTCAACTGTTGAGGAGTGGTGTTTTTTTATCTTTTTCTCTTTGTTGCTTTTGCATTACCACTAACCATTCATTGACTTCTTCACTCAACGCACTAACAATTTTATTCATTATATATTATATGTTCTTTTAAATGTAAAATTATCTTACCTCATTTTATTCCTCAACCAGTTTAAATTTCTTACTTTTTGTATTATATTATATGCTGATACATAAATGAAAACCGATAAACTGTGGATAAACCAAATAATATAAAAATATAGGTTATTTTGATCGTAAGTAAATAGGCGTGAAGTTGCAGTAGTTCGTTTATACTACTTTAAATTAGACATTTACAGATAACATCCCAGAATTGCCACTTTTACGATTCTATAAGCATTATAGTTACAGATCACCGTAAGCTATAGATTTACGAATTTACAGAAATTTTACGAGGGAACCCAGAATTGACCTATAAAGATAATATGACCATTTCCCTCCTTTTATTTTGATCCTCATATCAAAACAAAATAATCAGCCAATATCAAAGCGGCAAAAGGCGCTTTATAGCGACCGAAGAAAGGCAGAAACCTTTATCCAATGTATGTTCCAATGTATCATATGCAAGAAAGTTTATCGTTACAAAGTACTGATTGACTCTTTGATTTTGCGCCCTCGAAATGTTGCGCCTGCGTGCGTGCACGCACTGCACGCTCGCCAGGAACGGGCCTGCTTGCGTACTTTTTTTAATTCGAAAGTACTGAATTCGGTACAAAAGTACTGACGCTGGCAACACTGACCACAATCCACACAACGATCTTTATTCGCGCTTGTTAAAAATCACGAAATTAGGCAACCTAGTATACATTCATACTTTGGTCGCCATTTTCATTGTTTACAATTTCATTATTTGCAATTATTGTGCTGTTTATGCGGATTTGTAATAGTTGTTTGGTTTTATTTTTTATTATTGTGTATTATAGTGTATTAAGAACCAGATACAACTATTTTTACTTCCTAAAAATACATTATTGATGTCAATAATCAATTTCTGAATTTCATTGATTAAAATACTCTTGTCAAATATCAGTTTACTTTAAAACTAAATGTAACTATTTAAATGTAATAATTAATTTCTGAAATTCATTGATTAAAAAACTCTTGTCAAATTTCAGTTTACTTTAAAACTAAATATAACTATTTCTATTTCCTAAATAATAATTTATAAAAAGATTTATCCTTTTGTCAAATCTTTTAATGTTAAAAAACATTTGCAGTTTCTTTAAAACTTAAAAAAAACTTTGTTTACTTCTTCCATGCCTGTGTTATACAAAATTACTATTTTGGGTAATTTAAATTAACGGCGGCAAATAAATCAAATATGGCGGTAGTCGTATGTGCGCATTACACTAGAGGCTAAATGTAGCAAAGTATTCCTCAAGGTTATGACGATTAACTGTCATCTTGATTATGCAGGTACACTGCACCAACCCAAACTTAACAACCCAACCCAACCGACCCCGCCCCATTGGGCCCCTCCCGCCCCATTGAGCAATAGAGGTATAATATATCTAATGGGGCGGGAGGGGCCCAATGGGGCGGGGTCGGTTGGGTTGGGGGTAAATTTTCACTTTAGCGACTTTTCCGAAAAACGGCAGGAAAGTTGCCAAAATGCCAAAAATAGGTGTGGAGGGATGTAAAAGTGCATAAACAATCGGCGCAGGGTGAAAAAGTTGTATAATTATCGCGTATTTAATAAAAAAGGGGCTGATAATTGCAGTGACTTACCGTGATTTTCTGTAAAAAAGAACATGCAGCGAGCCAAAAACACGTATCTAATAGACGTAGAATTTGAAAGTGGAAGTAAAAAAGCGTGAATTATGAAAAACAACGTCATGAATTGAGGAAAATGCAAAATCAGGTAATTTTGATTTTCATTACCATAATTGCTATGTTGATTTCTGTGCTCAAAACTGCCTCGTTGATTTCTGTTTTCAAAACTGCCTCGTTGATTTCTGTGTTCAAAACTGTCTCGTTGATTTCCATTCCCATAATTTTTTGTCTCTTTATTTACATAACTTATTGCTTTGTCTTTACTCTTTCCTGCTGCAAGGGCCTTAATGTTTTTGTCTGCTGCTTCGGAAGCTTTACATATTTTTATTGCCATGTCCAACGTAAGATTTCCATCATAGGTGAGTAATTTGTTTTTCACTTTTTCTTCTCTAATACCACTAATAATATATTATTAGTGGTATTAGAGAAGAAAAAGTGAAAAACAAATTACTCACCTATGATGGAAATCTTACGTTGGACATGGCAATAAAAATATGTAAAGCTTCCGAAGTTATAACATCTTTAATAATACCTTCCTTAAGCTCACCATATTCACAAGGTTGAGCCAATTGTCTCAGTTCTTTCAAATACGAGTCAAAATCTTCATCCACCCCTTGCATTCTGCTGTTAAATTTCTGTCTCGCCAGACTTGTGTTTGCCTTAGGTACAAAATATTTTTCTAACTCTTCTAGTATTTTATTTTTATTTTTCACATCAGCCTCACTAATATTTAATGTGTCTAAAATTTCTAACACTGGGTGACCAATACAATGCAGTAGTACAGCTGCCTGTACCTCTTGTGATTTTTCTGCACACCCAGTTGCCGTTATAAATAATTCAAAGCTTTTCCTAAACGTCTTGTAATTTACTGACAAATCTCCTTCCATTAGCATGCTTTTGGGCTGTTTTAAGAATTCCATTTTCACTTGTTTCTTTTCTATTTCTTTTTAACCTCACGTTTTCCACGCGACTAACCAAACTTTTTCTTATTTTTCTGTTTTTGTACTTTTTCACTAGCAATACTAATTTACTTTTGTTCCTCCTTTAAGACTGCGCCATGTTATGTGGTTTACAGGTGCTGATTATTCATAATAATTAAAACATTAATAGATTTCCTTAAATTATATATTTGCACGTCCATTCCATTAAAATCGACATCACAGAGAGAGAAAGATACAGAGAGGGATAGGCACACTTCCGCTTTTGCAAGTGTTGCCAACACATAAACCTTATAAAACTAAATCCTAGGAACTAAATATACTAAATTAATTAACAGTTATGACGATTAGCTGTCATCTTGGTTATGCAGGTACACTAAAATGGGCAAAGGTGAGCGAAACCAACCCAAACCAACCCAAACTTAACAACCCAACCCAACCGACCCCGGCCCATTGCCCCCCCCCCGCCACATTGAGCAATAGAGGCTGGATTGTGAACCTGCATAACCTCAAATTACCTGATTTTAAAAATTGCATTTTCCTCAACTTATGACGTTGTTTTTCATAAATCAAGCTTTTTCACTTCACTTTCAAATTCTACGTCTATTAGATACGTGTTTTTGACTCGCTACATGCTCATTTTCACAGAAAATCACTGTAAGTCACTTCAATTATCAGCCCCTTTTATTAATTACGTGATAATTATACAACTTTTTTACCCTGCGCCGATTGCTTATGCAATTTTACATCCCTCCACACGTATTTTTTGCATTTTGGCAACCCCCAATCCGTTTTTCGGAAAAGTCGCTAATGTGTAAATTTAATGGGTTGGGTTGTTAAGTTTGGGTTGGTTTGTTAAGTTTGGGTTGGTTTGGTATGGCACAATGCAGTGTACCTGCATAATCAAAATGACAGTTAATCCTCATAACCTTGAGGAATACTTTGCTACATTTAGCCTCTAGTCGCATAACAGTACCGACATAGAAAAAGGAGTACCGATTTTCGTTCGTATTTTAAGGAGATTGAACAGACCTTGTTGTGTGGATTGTGGTCTGAACTAGTTCGGGATTAGCACCGCGAAAAAACCCAATGTCAACGCATGGTTCTACAAACTGTACTGTTAAGCTTAACGTCCTAGGCCAATATAAATATTTCGTTGAAGTTTTATGACACTTATAACAACACTCTGATTATATCACTTATTATAATTAATTATATAAGTGATTAGGGTCATATCTTAATAAGTACTATTTTTTATATTAGATAAATTATAATAGTATGTTAAAGCCTTAGGAGACACGTCCAGTTTTTATAAATCTTCGGGAAATATTTCTTTAGAAAATTCATCGTCATCTAAAAGTCCACTTTTGGATTACCATTTTTTAGACCTGATGTTTTGAGGTCAAATTTGGATTCAGCACATCAAAAACATTTGAAAAAATATTTTCTGCTTTCTGAAGACTCGTATTATTATTGCTAAAATATATTTAAAAAAATAATTAAAAACTTAAATTTTGTACACCTATTTTTAATAGTTAAACTATTTTAACATTATATAAACAATTCGCTACTGAGTTTTGCGTATATATTATTACTAAGTCACTTTTTAAAGTTTCGTAAATAAAAATAAAACTTATCTTAATTACCTATATGTATTAACATAGTGTTAATACGTATTTTTAAAAATCTTAATGAATATTTAAATAAAAATAATAATAATTAGATAAAAACACTTACACTCGTATATTTACTACAACCGTTCAAATATTGCTACCATCTGTTGATCAGAATGTATTCAGTAATAATGTTAGCTTGTTAGAAAATTATACAAAATGGCAACCAAAGAAATTGAAGCATCCCATGTTAATGATATGGTACAAGAAGTTGTGTATAAACCCACAACAATTGATTGTGAAGGTCCTTTAAAGTCGAAAAAAGGCAGTTCTACATTTTTATACTTTATCATATGCATAGGTATTGTTGTATAATCCAGTTGTTTATTAAATCAATTAATTATACGTTTTCGTAGTAAATTTGATTGGTTTCTCATGTGGGTCATCTATATCATGGACATCACCTGTAATACCAAAGTTGGAAGGTTTCATGGGGGCGGAACATAACCCATTAGGAAAACCCATAACAAAGTTGGAAGGGTCTCTTATAGCAGGGATTTTGAGTCTTGGTTGTGCTATAGGACCGTTTATATCAGGGCCGTTGGCTGGAAAATATGGAAGGAAAATAACTTTACTGTGCATTGCAGCGATTGTGGGGATATCTTTTATTACTTTGGCTTTTGCTACGAATGTTTATGTGTATTATGTGGCGAGATTTCTTAAAGGGCTTGGAGTTGGGAGTACATACCAAATAATACCGATCTACTCTGGTGAAGTGGCTGAAAATACTAATAGAGGTAGAGTTGGTTGTTTGTTTGTAGCCAATATTTCAGCTGGGTTGTTATCTTCCTACTTGGTGGGTCCATATTTATCTGTTAGACTTTTCTGTATATTCCATACAACGCCCATTGTGATATTCTTAATTTTCTACAAATTTATACCTGAAAGTCCGATATATCTAGCTTCAAAAGGTGATAAAGTTGAAGCTAAAGCCTCTCTAATGAGGCTTCGTAGATATAGCGCTTCTGGGGTGAAAGACGAGTTAATAGACATCTTCCTAGCATGTGCTGAGTCCAACTCCAATAAGGGTGGTTTTAAAGAAATATTTAGATACCCACCTTTGCAAAAAGCCTTCTTAATATGCTTACTACTTTTAACCCTACAACAATTCACTGGTATAGCCTTTGTAGTGGGCTTCTTGCAGACTATTTGTGACGTAGCAGGTGGCAGTGTTTCACCTTCTATTTCTGCCATAATCATCGGTGTATTAAAAACATTCGCTTCACTATTTACCTCCACCGTTATAGATAAGTTTGGCAGAAAATTATTGGCTATGATATCAGCACTAGCAACAGGCATATTTATAACAATCCTCGGCATATTTTTCTTCTTACTTCAAAACAAATATGATGTATCCAATATAACATGGCTTCCAATCGTTACTTTAATTTCTTACATAATATCATTTAATCTAGGTATGGCCCCCGTACCTTTCGTTATAGTAGGGGAAATATTTCCCTCCCATGTTAAATCCGCCGCATCAACGGTTTTAATTTCCATCAAGTTCTTAACAAGTTTCATTATTACTTTTCTATGTCCAGTTTTGTCTAGTTTACTAGGAATGGCGCCTACATTTTGCATGTTTGGGGTATTTTGTGTAATTGGGACCGTTTTGATTTATTTCATTGTCCCTGAGACTAAAGGAAAGTCTCTAGCTGAGATACAAGATATTTTAAAGCATAGATGATGTTAAAAAATTTAATGTTTGTTTTATTTTTTACCCGAAATATCATGCTAATTAAGAAGCAACAAGGTTATATTTTTATCAATATGTAAATTTGGTTACCGTTAATGGCGGTAATTTTGCGTGGTGGTTATCTGTGTCAGAAATGTAACAAGTAACAAGTTATTTTATTGACTTGAACTAACTAAATCTGTATGTCTTAGGTAGATCAACACTTCATAATTGCATAAAACGTAATAATTTTTATTAAACAACAATTGTTAATGTTTTAAAATAAATCATACATGCACCTTATCTGTTAATACAGCATATTACATAATTATTTATTCAGCCTTGTCTGTATTTATAGATGCAGATTTACTGTTTGTTTCTGGTACCACAAATACGCAAAAATAATACCAAATGCTTAAAAAGTACTAAAATTCAGAATGAAGAATCCATTGCATGTTATTATTAGGAATGTTGAAGCTCGGAATTGACCTTTGGAGGGGAATCATTCGTCTATAAAAATTCAGGGTAGGCTGCAAATTGGTATTAAGGAGTTGGAAGAACACTTTTAGGCTGTTATGATATACAATGTATATTATACATGAACCTGTTGATGATATCGGGGAATTTATCAGATGCAATATTAACATCAATAATAATTTTTTAAATCCTTTTTATTATCCTTATTGGTGACTAAATCAAAAGTTTATTATCAAGAAAGTTATACAGCTTAAGTTTACATAAACAGCTTGTTAAAACATGGTACATACTTAATTAAATAAAAATAAACTAAAACTATTTTCTTAACATGGTCTGTATCTCAGATAAAGATTTGCCTTTTGTTTCTGGCACATAACATGCCACAAAAATAATACCAACTGCACAAAAGGCACCAAATACCCAAAAGGTAGCAGCCATGCCCAAGAATTCACTAAAATTAGGAAAAAAGAAGGTGATCACGAACGATGCTATAAAACAAAAACATGTCAGGAATGTTGAAGCTTGGAATTTGACGTTTGAAGAGAATGTTTCTCCTATGATAACCCACGGTATACCACTCAGTCCTAAACTGAAGCTTATAGTGTAAGAAACTAAGCTTATAATTGGTAAGAGGGATATGCTTGAGATGTTATAACCGTTGTTTTGGAAGTAGAAGAATATACCTATGCTGATTAGTGAAATTGATGTTCCTGCAGTGGATATAAGCATCAAGGTTTTTCGACCAAAATGTTTTGCTAAATTTGTAGTTAGAATACTTATAAGTAATTGTATTATGGCTATAATAATAGGTGCTTTATCGGAAGGTATACTACCACCGGCACTTTTAAATAAAGTTTCCAGGAATGATTGAACGGCTGTAATACCAGACATTTGTTGCAATATCAAAAGGCCCGAGGTGATTTTTAAAGCCTTTAAATCTCCTTTATTAGTAAATAAAGATTTATAACCACCTTTTCCTTTATAATCGTTTTGAAATGACTTCATTATCCCCGAGACCTGTACATAAACTTCATCCTCACCTCTCGAGCGTAGCTTCATCAAGGTCTTTTTAACCCCTTCTTTATCACCTTTGGAAGCTAAATACACCGGACTTTCAGGCATAATAAAGTACCCCAATACAAAGAAAAGTATAGGTGCTATGGTGCATGATAAGGAAAACAATTTGATGCTCAAAATAGGCCCCACCAAAAAAGCATAAAGAACACCAAGGGACAACCCAACACCAAGAAAACATCCCAGCATTCCTCTATTGTGATCTTCAGCTATTTCTGCTATATACATCGGCATCACTGCTATTGAACCACCGATGCTTAACCCCTTTACAAATCTGGCAACATAGTAAACATATACTTTAGACGTATAGGCTAGTGCTACAAAGCTTAATATCAAAGGTAGTGATAATCCTAGTAAGGTGAACTTCCTGCCCACTTTGTTGGCCAGTGTCCCAGATACGAACGGTCCAAATGCACACCCCAACGACATTATTCCAGCAATTAAGGAAATTTCTAAGGTTTTTATTGCATTTGGAAGAGGATTTTGTCCAGGATCTACCAACTTCGACATTACAGGTGACGTCCAGCCAAAACCCACGCCAGCTGAGAAGGAAAAGAAGTTTACTGAAATAAGATATTATATTTTAGTTACTTTTATGACCAAGGTAAACAAAAGTTCTTTTTTTGAAAATCTAACCCAATTTTTGATATAAAGAAAAAAGTGAAAAGAATCAGATGTAAGTTCAACTGGCTAGTCCTTTGTTGTATTTACCTATAAATGCTGATAAATATAAATATCCAGTTCTACTTTTGGAAAGTTCAGCACACTTTAAAGGCCCATTTGTTATTAGAGTTGGCTGGTAGACAACCTCTTGTAAAGCAATGTTTTTTCTTACACAAATGTCTTCATCACTACTTTTAATTTTCTCCATTTTAATATTTAAGAGTATTTAAAAATCATGTACTGACATTACCCGCGCACCTACGTGTTTGTTAATATATTAATAAAATGAATGCTACAACTATGATAATAGCTAACTCTTGGGTAAATAAAGATGTAATAAAAATTTATAAAAAAAAATAATCTTATTAGCAACATCAAAAAATTATTTAAATACCCACCTCCAAGTAAGTTTACTAAAAATTCTTTAGAAGTCTGTTCCAAAACCCTTACATCTCTGTAACCATTACGCTTTCCTTACATTTAACAACTTTTGTTCAAAACCTTTTTTGGCATTATAATTAAAAATAAGTTATAAACATCTAAATATAGGTTAAAATGGTTTTTATAAACATAAAAATAAAACAAACTTTACAATAATTAGGTCTTTGTTACCGACCACTTGAACAATATATTTTATACAACAATAAGTTAAACCTGAAAAACGTAATACACACTAATATCACTATTTATTTAACATAATTCGAATTTTATATATAAAGATTTGCCCTTCGTTTCTGGAATTATATCAAACGCATAAAAAAACCCCATGAGTTCATAAAGTTAGAGCCATACCCATGAGTTTTGAAGCAATAGGGAAGAACATTGTTATCAAGAACGAAAATATAAAACACATACAAGCTAGGAAAGTTGAAGCTTGAAATTTCACGTCTATTGTAATCTTCAGGTATTTTTCCTATGTTCATTGGCAACACCGCGAAGGTCCCTCCTATACTAAGCCCATACACGCTAGACGTGTAGGCTAAGAATGGATACCTTATTATGAATGAAACTGATATTCCTATAAGTCTATAAATATTAAAAATATTCAGATTTTAAAAGCAGTGAATGTAGAAAGTTATTTTGCTGTTTGCTGTCAAATATAGGTATTTATCTCTACTGTTACAGTAGAGATAAATACCTATATTTGACAGCATTCAAGGTAAATAACAGGATTATTAAGTTTTAATGTTGATTTTTTAGTTTAGTTTTTAAAATATCGTGACAACCAATGGTTATTTTGTTACTTTGTTACTTGGTCCGCTCTGCATCTGTATTTTTCCAATGACCTGTGTGCCTGTGGACCTCTTACATCAGAAAAGTTAGGAAACCTTAGTATTATTACCAGTCCCTAGTTAACCTAGTGTATTAAATTTTGTTTACAATAACGTTCAGTTAATTTTAAAGGTCCATTTGCATGTACAGGGTGATCCCCTATAATGTCGCCCCCCTTTAACTTTTTCATTTTAAGTGTCCCAAAAAATTTAAAAGTGTGGTTATGTAGGTACTAAAAAATACTTTTTTATATGTATAAAAAATGGAAAATTGATCAATATACAGGGAAAAACATTTTTTTTTCAATGGATCACCCTATATATGAATTTATTTATCGCCGACGGTGGACTAGTGGTTAGTGCTGCTGACTACAAGCCAGAGGTCCTGGGTTCGAATCCCACCAGGGGTATGGCTGTTTATTTGTGTTTGTCCTATTGTGTAATAGTCCTTTGGAGGGTACTTTAAGCTCGCGGTCCGTTCCTACCCCTAACCCGCACAAGCCATTTAGTTGGCTTATGGGACTTCTTAAGAAATAAGGGTGGAACTAAAAGAGCACTTTTTTTTTATTCTCGATTCCTTGTAAAATGCTTAGCATAATTCATATAACAAACCATATACCTAAATTCAACCGTTTCTGAAATATTCGCATTCGAAATGTTATCATTAAATGTTTTTTTAAACTGTTAGCAATTAAGAAGCCTCAGTATACCAAAATTTTTATTGAAAATAAATTACTATAGTGACATTATGTCAATATGTCTTGTTAAATAAATAAAAATGGCGTACTCGATAGAAAAAGACAAACTATTTCAACTTATTATCTTAAAAATAATTTAATATTTCATAAACGGTTGAATTTAGGTTTATGGCAGGGTTGCCAATCATCTGGAAAACCTGGAAATGTCAGGGAATTTAAATTTTTTAGAAATATCAGGGAATTGGCAAAAAAATCTACAAAGTCAGGGAGTTCCTATGTCGGTCAGGGAATTGGTTATTTATAAATAAAACTGGGCAACAAAATTTTCATAAAAAAAATATATGTTGTAAGTGAGTGTAATTTAAATTTAATTTATTCAAAATATGGCAGCACTATATGTCAAACTTATCACTATAACCTTAGAAGTCTATATCACGACCAACTATTTTTATGTTTAGGGTGATTAATATTTGTTTATTTTGTAAATGGTAAGCATAATTAAAAAACTAATTAATTAATCAGTAAAAGCGTAATTAATAAATTAATAAATTAATTAATCATTAAACATCATAGTTTCTGTTGATAAAAAAACCGTTTCAAGCCAAATGTTAGATTTGGAAGCAGTCAAAGGCCACATAAAAAGTACATTCCATTAAAAATTTAGGCAACGAAGAACACAAATTTGTCAAATTTTCTTAAAAAAAAGAACCAGATGGAAAATACTACTCTCTAAAAATTAATTAGTTACAAATGACTAATTGTCATAGCGAAAAAGCAGCCACTAATAATTCTAGTCAACAGAAATTTGTATCCCGGATATTTAGCAGTCAATTGCTATGTAAAATTGTCTGCTAAATCCGAATATGTCGTCAAAAGTTATAAAAGTAGGACAGTTTTTAAGATTTAGTCAATTTTCTATATAATATGGAATTAACTATATCTCAAAAATTGCTATTGAGAATTGGCTGTTAAATGTCCGGGACAAATTACTGTGGACTACAGTAACTGTTATAAGTGACTGTTTTTTCACTTTGAAATATATCATTTTTGACTAATTCTTTTTTAGAGAGTATGCTTGAAAAAGTTACAGTTTTACAGGATAATAATAATGCTTTAGAAAATAACCAGAATAAATCAATTTCTTCAATAACAACTCCTGCCAAAAATGATAGAAATGAAATCTTTTTTTTGTACTATCAAATATTTACTGATAAGACCTCATCAACTTTATAAACAAGACCTGCCGCAGACAAAATTTCAGAGGCATTTTTAAAAATTTAATTTTTTCTGTTATTTTCAGATTGAACAGAAAATTAATGTAATAAAAACCCAAAAAACAAAAACCTAAATTAAAAATTGTCCCGAAAAAATTAGCTACAGAATTTTTTTTGTTTTTTTTAATAAGAAGTATTTATTTTTTTAATAAGAAGTATTGATTTTTTGTTAATGTTTTTAAATTTTATAAACTTCAATAAAAGTTTAGGTTTTTAATTAATCTTTATAATTCCCAACCAAGAAAAAATAAATAAATAAAATCAAGTATTACATAAGCACCAAAGGGGGGATGATTGATTGCCTTGATTTTTTTTGTATATTTTTAATGATAAGCTTTACTTACTTTTGCTGACAAAGGAAAGGGGGGGTTAAAAATTATAAAAATACTGCTTACGTAATACCATAATTAAAATTTTAAAAACCAACACTTAAAGTCCAGTTGAAAAGATCATTGAGGGTCAGAAAACCAAAAAGAAAACTGCTAGCGTCGACACATTTTGTCTGGAAAAAAATCAGGGAAAGTCAGGGAATTCCTGGAAAAGTCAGGGAATTTGGTTTAGACAAATCGGTGGCAACCCTGTGTGGTATGTTATATGAAATATGCTTAGAATTTTACAAGGAATCGAAAAATAAATACATATATAGGGTGATCCATTGAAAAAAATAAACCTTTTCCCTGTATACTGATCAATTTTTCAATTTTCTTTATACGGAGAAGAAAAGTATTTTTTAACACCTACATAACCACACTGTTAAATTTTTTGGGGCACTTAAAATAAAAAAGTTAAAGGGGGACGACATTATAGGGGGTCACCCTGTACAAATTATTCCCATTAATCAATTTTGAGGCCATATAAATGTGGTTTTAAGAGAATTGCGCTACTTCCACACGCGTCTTTTGACTATCTCTATCATATCCATCAAAAATTCATTATAATAGTTATTTATGTCATTAGGTTAAGAAGTAAGGCTTTTTGTGCTAAGCTCAAGGTTTGAGCGAAGCACAAAAAGGCACTTCTTGGCCGAATGGCATACAACATTTTATCTTCAAAGCACTTTATATAGGTCAATTTAATTCAAAATCAAAGCAGCCTAACCTCACTTTTTTAGAATCTCATTTATTTATTAGCTAAAGATTACATTAAATGTACAATAATTATTATTGCTTTTAGCAGCAGTAATAGTTTGACAATACCTAGCAACATGATTTAAGTAGAAATGGATTTTTGCTATTACATTGAATTCAATTAATTGTTTAATAAATAGGTAGGTATCTAATTTCAATTTGTTTGGATTTTTATTTAAAAAATAGGTAGTTTAGAATGTTTAAGCTGTGTTTAACATTTAATTTCAATGAAAACTTAATGCAAATTAAAACTTAAAGGTAATTTAGAAAAAGAATCGTGCGTTTTCTTGGTTGCCTAACCTCACTTTTTGTTTTATTATTCATATTTAATTTTACAATAATTTAATGAAAAATATTAAACATTAACAGTAAAACAAACAAATTAGTGCTTATTATAAATAAATTAAACCAGTTTAGTATGTTAATTTCTTAGGAAAGGATTAATTTGTCAAAACAATACCCCTAGCGAGAAAAAATCGAACTAATTACTTGCCTCATAAATTTTTTTATCGGCCTAGGCCATAACAAGGTATTTCTTTATCGAATGTTGACAACAATAAAGTTTAAATTATAGACCGCGTGGAGATAAAAATGCTTATACAGATATATTTAGCTTAAGTTTACATAAATAGTTTGTTAAAACGTGGTACATACTTAATTAAATAACAATAAACTAAACTATTTTCTTAACATAGTCTGTATCTCAGATAAAGATTTGCCCTTTGTTTCTGGCATATAACATGCCACAAAAATAATACCAACTGCACAAAAAGCACCAAATACCCAAAAGGTAGCAGCCATGCCAACGAATTCACTAAAATTAGGAAAAAAGAAGGTGATCACGAACGATGCTATGAAACAAAAACATGTCAGGAATGTTGAAGCTTGGAATTTGACCTTCGAAGAAAATGTTTCTCCTATGATAACCCACGGTATACCACTCAGTCCTAAACTGTAACTTATAGTGTAGGAGACTAAGCTTATAATTGGTAAGAGGGATACGGTTGAGAAGTTATAACCCTTGTTTTGGAAGTAGAAAAATATACCTATGATGATTAGTGATATTGATGTTCCTGCAGTGGATATAAGCATTAAGGTTTTTCGGCCTAAGCGTTCTGCTAAATTTGTGGTTAGAATACTTATAAGTAATTGTATTATGGCTATAATAATAGGTGCTTTATCAGAAGGTATACTACCACCGGCACTTTTAAATATAGTTTCCAGGAATGATTGAACGACAGGCATACCAGACATTTGTTGCAATATTAAAAGACCCGTGGTGATTTTTAACGCCTTTGAATCCCCTCTATTGGTAAATAAAGATTTATAACCACCTTTACTATTATCATCGTCTTGATCCCATGATCTCATAATCCCCGAGACCTCTGCATAAACTTCATCCTCACCTCTCGAGCGTAGCTTCATCAACGTCTTTTTAACCCCTTCTTTATCACCTTTGGAAGCTAAATACACCGGACTTTCAGGCACGATAAAGTACCCCAATACAAAGAAAAGTATAGGTGCTATGGTGCATGATAAGGAAAATATTTTGATGCTCAAAATAGGCCCCACCAAGAAAGCGTAAAGTACACCGAGGGACAACGCAACACCAATGACACATCCCAGCGTTCCTCTATTGTGATCTTCAGCTATTTCTGCTATATACATCGGTATCACTGCCATTGAACCACCGATGCAAAACCCTTTCACAAATCTGGCAAAATAGTAAACATACACACTAGACGTATAGGCGAGTGATACAAAGCTTAATATGAAAGGTAGTGATAATCCTAGTAAGGTGAACTTCCTGCCAACTTTTTTGGCCAATGTCCCAGATACGAACGGTCCCAATGCACTCCCCAACGATATTATTCCAGCAATTAAGGAAATTTCTGATGTTTTTATTGCATGTGCACATGCAATGTGCATGGAAAAGGATTTTGTCCAGAATCTAGCAACTTCGCCATTACAGGTGACGTCCAGCCAAAACCCAGTCCAATTGAGAAGGAAAATAAGTGCACTGAAATAAAATATTATATTTTAGTTACTTATGGCCAAGGTAAAAAAAATGAGCTAAAATACTTGAAAAGTTCTAATATACCTTTATATTTTTTATTTATTTAGGCTTGCGCAAAGTATTATAATAGTAAAAGTAGATGTCAGGCTTATTTTTTGTAAACCCAACACAATTTTTGGGATGAAGAAAGAAGTGAAAAGAAAGTCTTTACAGATAATGAATCTTCAATTAATCTAAGTTAGGCTAGAGGTCAAGTGAAGATACTTGTTGTATTTACCTATAAATACTGATAAATATAAATATCCAGGTCTACTTTTGGAAAGTATAGCAGACTTCAAAGGCCCATTTGTTATTAGAGTTGGCTGATAGACAACCTCTTGTAGAGCAATGTTTTCTGTATCACAAATGTCTTCATCACTTTTACTTTTCTCCATTTTTATATTTTAGAATTCAAAAAAATCATGTAGGTACTGAGATTTATTACATTACACGCACACTTACGTGTTTGTTAATATTTTAATACAATGAATTCCTATTGAATAACTATTGGGTAAAAATTATGAGATAAGATAAATAATCTTATTAGGAATATTAAAAAATATTTTAAGTTTACTAAATCTAAAAATTCTTTTCAAGGCTGTTCCGAAACCCTTACATCTCTGTAACCATTAAATTGTTGAGGAAAGAATTATAATTATCAACAACTTTTATGCGAAATCTTTTTTGGTATTTTTAATTAATAAAAAGTTATAAACATCTAAATATGGACAAGAAAGGGTGAAAATGATTCTTCAGCTATATGAACAGTTCAGGACCGAACATAAATATAAAACAAACATAGTACTTTTATATATTATATTTTAAACAACAATAAGTTAAACCTAACAAACTTAATAAATAGATACTAATTTCACTATTTGTTTAACATAATTTGAATTTCAGATAAAGATTTGCCTTTCGTTTCTGGAACTACTAATACCACAAAAATTATACCAAACGCACAACAAACCCCAAAAGTCCAGAATGTTAGAGCCATACCCATGAGTTTTGAAGCAATGGGGAAGAACATTGTTATCAAAAACGAAAATATAAAACACATACAAGTGAGGAAAGTTGATGCTTGAAATTTCACGTTTGAAGCGAAGGTTTCACCTATCAAAACCCACGGTAGGCAACCTAAACCGAGGTTGAAACCTATGATGTACGCCATTAGGCTGACGATGGGTAGCCAGGATAGATTGGAGACGTCGTGGCCTTTGCCTTGGAGGTAGAAGAACGCACCTAGGATAGTAATTGAGACGAATGAACCGACTGTCGATATCAGCAGTAAGGATTTACGCCCTAGACGTTCAACGACGCTTGTGGTGACCATGTTGATAAAGACTTGCAAAACGCCTATAATTACTGTGGCTTGTTCTGATGGTATGCTACCGCCCGCACCTTTGAATATGTTCTCCAAAAATGCCTGAATTGCGTTTATACCAGATAATTGTTGGAGTACCAAAAGACCGAAACATATTTTTAACGCCGTTAAGTTTCCCCTAGTGGAAAATAACACTTTATATCCACCCTCCTTAGTACTTCCTTCACATGACTTCATCAACTCTGATACCTCAGCTTGCACTTCATCAGAACTTTTCGAGCGTAGCTTCATCAACGTTCTTCTAACACCTTCTTTATCCCCTTTGGAAGCCAAGAATACGGGACTTTCCGGCAAAATGAAGTACCCCAATGCAAAGAAAAGTATAGGGGCTACTGCACACGACAGGCAAAACAATTTAATGCTCAAATATGGACCGATCAAGAACGCGTTGAGGATACCAGATGTTACTGCCACACCTGCTAGGCATCCCAACATTCCTCTATTGTGGTCTTCAGCTATTTCTCCTAAGTACATTGGCATCACCGCGAAGCCACCTCCTATACTAAGCCCTTTCATAAACCTAGTAACATAGTACACATATACGCTAGATGTGTAGGCTAAGAATAGATAGCTTATTATAAATGGAACTGATAGTCCTAGTAAGGTAAACTTTCTTCCAACTTTGTTGGCCATTTTTCCAAATATGAAAGGACCAAACGCACATCCTAAGAATAATATCCCCGCTATCAATGATGATTCAGATGTTTGTATCAACTCTGGAAAAGGGCTGTGTTCGGGATCTGATAGTTTGGGTATTACCGGAGATGACCAGCCGATTGCCATTCCAGATGAGAAGGTTATTACGTTTGCTAAAATAAAATGTTTGGATTAATGACATATACATAACTTACTTTTAAAAAATAACTTTTAACATGACTGAACCCAAAAATGTTTATCCAAAGCGAAGTAAAGCGACTTACCTATAAAGGCTGTTAGATATAAATATCCAGAACCACTTTTTCGAAGTTCTGCAGACTTCAAAGGTCCATTGGTTGTGGTGGTTGGCTGATACACAACTTCTTGTAAACCACCATTTTCTTGATTGTTATCAATTTTTTCCATTTTTAACTATTTTTCGAAAGCATTCAAATTTTTGTAGTATACATTACATTCTTGATGGTCCTTTCAGAAACTAGTTCAGTTTATTACTATCTAATTGCTGCTTTATATTAAGTAAATAGTAAATAGATCAACTTCCAAATAGATAACATTTTTGCTTTGTAACATTGAGAAATATTTATATAGGTATTTACAAGATTATTCTTTTTACCAAACAAAACAAAAAGACAATAGATGCTGTTAAGATGTCTGATAATATTATGACGTTTGTTTGTTTGAATGCGATTTTATTAGGAAAATATAGTTAAATAGAAAAAATTGTGGATTAATCCTGCAAAAATTGGCACTTTTTCAGCGTTACCGAAATGACGATTAAATCTAAAAATTAAATTTTGAAAAACTTTAGGCCTGTTTTTTCTTATAATTTTATATTATTTCAAAACGTTGTTCAATTAATTTTGGTGCTTATGATAGAGGGGACAAAGATTTAACTAATAAATGACTTTCAAAATTGGCTGTTATTATTCTATTATCTGTGTAAGAGATGCTTACAATTGTGCAGTTACTACTAAGATATGTGGAAGTATGAAAACAATGTTGTTTATGTTTCTGTTATATCAGGTAGATCTATATCTATATACATTTTCAGTTTCATCATTACGAAACCCAAGCAAAGACCTAATGAAATCCAAAATAACTTGAGTGAAATATGAATGTAAATAATAATAAATTAATATTAATACATATTATAAAACTGTTATAAGAATGTTAAACAAATCTTTTTGAAGGATATCAACTTAAACTATATTACCAAAAAGTTTTTCTATAATTGTTTATTATTTACATTATTTATTATATAACAAAGACTTAATCTCACATATACGTAAATTCACTGCATAAATAATATAAGATTTACTATAATGAATATAAGAATTAAAATTGCAATTTTGACAGAAATAAGAAAGAAAATGTTATACGTTAAATCCTCGACTAGACTTAAGTTAAACAACATTTTTCTCCTAAATTTGAGGCTATTAGATATAAAATAGGTTTGAGAGTAAGTGATCACAGTTATAAGAATGGGAAAACCTACTAGTTATTTTGTCTTTTTTGCTACAACATCGGGTAATAAGAATATATAGACATATTTATTTCCTATCCAGACGTTAATACCACATATTCCATTCCAGCAAATTTGCTGACCATGTCAGCTGGTTGGGCATATGGGTGGTCCTCCATAGCAATCCCAAAACTGAATGGTCTGATCGATCCAGACTTGAACCCGATACGGAAGCCAACCACCCTTCTGCAGGATTCATGGGTCACATCACTGCTACATTTGGGCTCTAGCTTCTCGCCAATATTCGCTGGAAAGATGGCTGATCAACTAGGACGAAAGGCGACTTTGCTTATATTTGGTGTCGTCATGTTGATTGCAAATGTTATTACTATCTTTGCCGACTGCGTGGAGCATTTTTATGTGGCCAGGTTTTTATTAGGGCTCGGTTGTGGTGCCGTGTGGGCTGTAATCCCGATGTATACCGCTGAGATATCTGAGGTGGACAATAGAGGTTTTTTAAATTGTATTTTGGGGATTTTGGTGACTTTCTCCACATTGGTATGTTTTTGTGTAGGGCCGTATGTTAGTATAAGCACCATGGGTTACATTAGTGCATCACCGGTTGCTATATTTTTGGTGGTATTTGGATTAATCGTTCCAGAAAGTCCATATTATTATGTTTTGAAGAGTAACGAAGAAGCAGCTAGATCATCTTTCATGAGGTTAAGAAGGGTATCTACTAATACTGCTGAGAAAGAAGTTTTGGATATTAAAAGATCTTTTAAACTTACAAGTGGTAATGAAGCTAGTTTCCTAGACTTATTCAGATCTCAAAATGCAAGAAAAGCCCTACTTATAACAGCAGGTTTAATGTTTTTTCAGCAAGCTACAGGTATTTGTGGTATTCTCTCATATCTACAAAGTTTTTTTGATGATACTGGTAGTAAAATTCCATCTGACATATCAGCAATGGCTGTGGGTTTAGTGCAATTTATATCGGTTAGTGTCCTGTCAGGTATCGTTGATAGATTTGGACGAAGGGTATTTCTAATTATATCTGCTAGTGGTTTGATCGTTGCCCTATCAGGTTTGGGTGTGTTTTTTACGTTGAAAAACCTTCAATACAACCTAGATTCTTTATTTTGGGTACCTGTATTTTGCGTAATGTTATTTATAACATGTTTCGCTGGCGGTATAGGTCCACTTCCCTGGACAATTCTAAGTGAAATCTTTCCACTCGATGTCAAATTTTACGGCTCTAGTGTGGTAACATGGTTCTGTCTATTTTTTAGTTTTGTCATTACTGTGTGTTTTCCCATATTTACCGCATGGATGGGTATCACAGTGTGTATGTGGTTTTTCGCAGGCTGTACTACATTGATGTTGGTTTTTGTTGTATTTTACGTACCAGAGACCAAGGGAAAGACTTTCGAGGAAATCCAAATGATTTTAAGCAAACAATAATTTATAATGTTAATGAAATGATGTGAAATATCTGTGATAACCAACTTGATTAAAATGTATAGTTGTAAATATTAATAAAAATATTTAAGGTTCGATTATTTTTTTTAAGACAATAATGTACCTGAAAGTTTGTTATAACGCATCATACTTGTCCACCTGTATATTTAAAAGTTGTTTGCTTAGTATTGACCACGTATTATCTGGTCCACTTGACACTGTATTTTTCCTATGTATACCATGCAGATGAAGGTACGGTATAGGATAAATTAAAATACTTTACCCTTTAATATATTTATTTTAACCTTCATAAAAAATGCCGTACAAAAAGTGCAATAAACTAAATTTTTCTTCTATAAAAATACATTATCTTGCATTCAACATATCTTGTATTTCAGCCAAGGATTTTCCTTTTGTTTCTGGGACGACAAAATAAATAAATATAACCCCAATACCTATAGCCACCCCAAAAAACATAATCCCCCCAGACATATCAATTAGATCTCTTAGATAAGGAAAAAATAGAGTTGTCAGAAAGGCGGCCACAAAAGTTGTTGTTGATGTTATACTCATAGCTACTGATTTTACGTTTGTTGGAAACATCTCTCCCATCATAGCCCATGGAATGGGCATGAGACCCAGGCTGAAGCTGATGATGTAGAATAGAAGGCAAAGGAGTGGGACGATACTAAAATTTGATACATCCTGACCATGTTCCTTTAAGTGGAAAAATATTGCTAGTACTACTAATGATATGCTTGAGCCTGCAGCCGATAGTATGAGCAATAATTTTCTGCCAGACTTCTCTACAACCATGGATGCAAAAATAACCACTACACATTTAGAGGCTCCTACAATCATAGGGGCATTTTTGGCTGATATAGCAGCCTCACCTGCTGCCTCGAATATAGTTTGTAAATATGACACAATTACAGTCATTCCAGATAGTTGCTGAAATATTAATAAACCAATGCATATGGTGAAAGCTTTCCTTAGAGTAGCCGATTTAAATATATCCAGTATAGTGCCTTTCTCCTCGGTTTTTTGGCAGAACTTTACTAGTGAATCCAACTCGTCAGTTACATTTGTGGAACTACGAAGTTTCATCAGGGATTTTTCGGCAGCAAATTTGTTTCCAATCAAGACTAAATACATCGGGCTTTCAGGTATGAAGGCAAACAATATTAAGAAAAAAGCTATTGGAGTAATGCATAGTAAACTAAAAACTTTGATTGATAGATAAGGCCCAATTGTATATACAAATAACATTCCAAAGGCATAGAACACTGACATGAGGCAACCAATTTTACCTCTGTTATGTTTCTCAGAAATTTCACCAAAGTAAAGCTGCACCACCAATATTGCACTGCCTGTCCCAAAACCTTTAACAAGTCTTGCTATGTAATACACGTATATACTACTTCCAAAAGCTAACGCTATATAGGCTATAGCTATTGGTAAAGCTATAAATAACATTGTCAACTTTCTTCCAAACTTATGCGCCAATGTACCAGATACTAAAGGCCCCAAGGCATTACCAATACTCAGAAAACCAGCAATTAAAGATTCCTGGGATGTAGTTATGACTTCTGACAGTGGATTGTCGTCATTCAATGTTTTTAATTTTGGTATTACAGGGGATGTCCAGCATTGCCCTGCTCCAGTTGTAAACGATAGGAGATTTGCTGAAACAGTTATTAATTAGTTCAAAAGTTATTTATTAGTCAACAATCTCACCTATAGAAACAACAAAATACAGATATGTACTTTTATTTTTAGTCATTTTAAACAATATATTGTAAACTATGTTATAAAGAGATTCAATTTGTGTAAATAACCTATAACGAGGCAATCGATGGACTTTATAATACATTTATAAGATAAACATAGTCGTTCAATAATATTTTTTTATCTTAGTAAATATAGTACAACAATCGTACGCAATTTTTTTATGTGTTTTTATAAAATACACTCATGCATGTTGATTAAGATTGCTTATCTTAAAACTAGTAAGTAATCTAAAATTATTTAAATATTTGTATTTAATGTCAAGGCAAAGGTTTTAGTTTCTGTTTTATATTAAATTTATATATTCGTGCACTATTACAATTTTTTTTCTATTCGTCAGGCATCAAAATCTACCTTCGTAGAAATTTCAAGTACTGACTATTCCAAGTACTGACTTCGAAGAAGACTAATATATTTGCCAGTCGTTATTTAACTAGAATTTTAACTTATACTAGGTAAAATGAAGTAATTTTGTAGAATAAAAATAAAATAAAACATACATTTTATTTACAGTAAGATTTAATTGCTGCCATCATTTTTTTTGTCCAACATATCTTGAACTTCCGCCAAGGATTTTCCCTTCGTTTCCGGAACAACCAACCAAACGAAAATCACGCAAACACCACTGGAGACTCCAAAAAAAATCATTCCGCCAGACATCCCGATAAAATCCTCAAAGTAAGGAAAAATCAAAGTTACCATGAAGGCCACAAAGTAGTTTAGGGAGGCTGCGAAACTCGACGCGGTAGATTTGACGTTGTTGGGGAAAATTTCCCCCAAGATGGCCCAGGGTAGAGGCATTAAACCAAAACTACAGCTTATGATGAATAAGGTCATACAGATTAGTGGCAGTAGGTTAACATTGGATACATCATAGTTATGCTCGTGTAAATAGAAGAATATACCCAGGGTTAGTATGGATAAACTCGCTCCTGTAGCGGAAAATATTAATAAAATTTTCCTGCCGGACTTTTCGACTACCAGGGATGTTAAAATGGTTACGACAATCTTACAAGCGCCGATTATTATTGGTGATTGCTCGGCAGAAATTGGGCTTTGACCTACAGCCTCAAAAATTATCTGCATGTTCGATAGTATGACATCCATACCTGATAACTGTCGAAAAATAAACAAACCAAAGCATATAGTTAGGGACTTTTTTAATGCCGGCGATTTTAATATATCCCTTATATTGCCCGTCTTCTTTTTTTCGCAGAACTTAACCATTTCACTTAGCTCTTCCTTCACATCAGTGGCACCCCGTAGCTTTATCAAAGATTGTTCGGCTCCCACGTTATCCCCATTTAAGACTAAATGTATTGGGCTTTCAGGTATAAAAGCATAAAATATTAAAAACAAACCTACAGGAGTTAGGCATGTCAAACTAAAAACTTTAATGGAAACATAAGGTCCAATAGCATACACCGACAATGCTCCTAAACCGTAGTATACCGAGGATAAACAACCGAATGTGCCTCTGTTATTTTTCGCTGCCACTTCACCAAGGTAAATCTGCAGTATCAACAGTGAACTTCCAACACCTAGTCCTTTAACAAATCGTGCGATATAATACACATATATATTACTTCCAAATGCTAACGCCACATACGCAATAGTAATAGGTATTGCTATGAGCAACATGGTGATTTTTCTCCCATATCGACTTGCTGAAACTGCCAATAAAGGGCCAAATGTGTTTCCAATGCTTAGCAATGCATTCACAAGGGAAGCTTCTGATGTAGTTATAACTTTCCCCAGTGGATTTTCATCCAGTGTTTTTAGTTTTGGTAAAACGGGTGATGTCCATGTCTGAGCCACTCCTGCAGAAAATGCCAACAGGTTTACTAAAATAAATTTATTTCACAAAAAGTTTCACCTTATTTTATATGTTTACCTATGGAAACAGTAAAATAAAAATAACCGCCTCTATGTCTTGCCATTTTAAATTATTTAGAATACATAATTATGCAATATAACAAAAACTGAGATTAAAGATTATAAAATTTATAGTTGTTATCGTGGGCGATAGATAACGTTTTTTTGTTTAAATGATCACTATGTTGCTAAGCTAGATATGATTGTCTTAAAAATTTCAACTTTGGGTAGATATATGATTTTGTCCTGCATGTCAAATGGACGTCAGAGCATTTTGGCATTGAGCATGTCCCTTCGGTCATCTATGCATGTCCCTGACGTCCATTCGAGGGTCCAAATGCTACATTTAAAAATATATAACAAAATTATTTCTATTTTAAGTATTGATGAACAATGTTTCTATTTTTCTTGAAGTTATGTAATAGTTCCATACAAAATATGACCAGAGAAATGATAAATCCAATTATTAGGAAAACAAACGGTGGCAGAAGAATCTTCTTCTTCTGAGAAGATTCCAAATATCCAAGGGATGGTTGGTGGGTTCGACTTGCTGGTTACTTTTGGATATTTTGTAACCAGATTTGTACCTACAACATATTTTTAATATGTGAGGTGAAATAGGAAAAATCATACCAATGATTTATTAATCCAGCATCACATAACCTACTTATTGTGCTCGAAAATATGGTTCTAAAGGGTATGGCCTCCTGCATACTCCAGGCGTGGTAACCCCCTGGAAATAAATTTTGTCGTACCAACCTTAAATGGGAAATCTCGTGTCTGGGTAAATTACATTCCCTATATACCTGAAACATATATATTTAAATGACTTGAATTGTAATTGGAGAATTTACCTTGTATTGTACTGGTATTAATTCATCTATAACTCCAGTTTTGGAACGCAAAGCATAAGCAATGGAATCGCAAAAATTTAAATTATTTTTAATCAAGTTAGACACTACTTTTTCATATAAAGTTATGTCAGATTGTACAAAATTTTCTCTCAAAACTGAACTATCGTCGGAATCAACCTACAAAATTCCATTTTATGAAACCCTTAACATTATAATAATTATTAGTAGGTATTCCTTACCTGGAAAGTATAACCATTTGCGACCATCTCTGCAATATTATTGGGTTGATGGTCAGTAGGTTTAATCAAAAGAGAAGCGAGATGACTTTTATAGAAGGAGTTAATGCAACAGGATAATATCCACCATATCCCAAACATAAATTTTATAGAATTTAGTTTAAAAAATCTGCCAGACATTGAATATGATGAGGATTGCTCTATTAAAGTCTCAGACGCCAACTTGAATAATTAAAATGAAGTTTAGGCCAAAACAATTACGATATTTACCTTCATGTAAAGACAAAACGTTTTGTTTGTCCCTCCAAAAAATAAATACCGAGCACCTTGTGCCATCAGACTCATCAGTATTAAAGCTACAAGACAAGCGATGTATATTGTCCAACTGACGAAGAAAAATCTGTTTAGAGACAGCGGGTTAGGATCTTGCCTAGCATAGGCTATCGTGTATCCCTCTGTGTGAATTGATCTCGTAAAATCAGTCCAGTTTCCTCTACCCAAAGAAGCTGTGATGCCTCCAACAGCCCAATCTACTTGTCTATGATGAACAGCCATAACCAATGACTGCCAAGTCCCCTCTTTGACAGTTTTGTGCCATTTTATCAAATCATATGTAAAATTTAAATATTTGCTCAGCGTTGTCAAAATACTAGCTTCTGAACCTTTGGGTAGACAAGTATTATTTTCAAACCTACAACACATCAAATAAATCTATAAATAGTATGCATACCTTCACCTACTCGCAATAGAAAAAAGGCGAATAATCAGCATAAGCAATACGAAACTTATGCCCGTAAAAATTCCTGAACCGATTGACATACTGATTAATCTCCGGTAATTTTCCGCCATCGTAAATTTGTTTTAATATTCCTGTATTAAGTCTACAGAAATAACAGCACGTGTACAAACAGCCGTTCTTCAAGTTGTACAAAAAAACACCCGCAGTTTTTCTGAGGCCATACTCGAACCACCAGAACCTTTTCGGCATATTCGCCCAGTGGTAAATTATGAAAACTGTATCGCGGTTTATGAGATTGTATGGGTACAAAGAGTATTTTTGGAACTGGCTTATGTTTTTCAGTAGAACGACGTTGATGTAAGAATGACCATCATTTCTTTTGAAGTTGTAGGATGTGTCGTGATTCACTACGTATGCACCCTGCATATCACCTAGTGATAAACCGAATATATCAATTAAATTGGATGCTGTACTGTTGTCACAATGTATTATCAGGTACGAGGCGTTCAGCTGTTTCACCACATCCAATGGAAATCTCCACGTCACGTTTGTACTGAACGTCCTAATAAATTTTTCGTGGATAATGGCCATAGTCAATGTTGGTAAAACTATTAGCAGCAACACTTTTAATGCAAACATGTTGATGGGGCAGACATTAATTAAATGTGATTAATTGGGTCATTTCAAGTCAACTCCATTGAATGTTTATTCACAATTATTTTTAATGTTGTGTTTATTAAGGATTATGGTTTTTTGTGTGAGCAAATATTTAAATACAATTATTGATTAATGTTGATAACATTTATGAGTGTTTTAACTTTATTTATTTGCTACTAGCTGAATACCAGGATGGCGGGAGAGATACAGCTAATGTTGTTTCTATTAACCCATTCTTCACCTATGGTAGAGAAGAGCAGGACATTCATCTGTCTAGTCTACAGTTTCCCGATATGATTTCGAGAAGGTCCGAACGATTTTGACGGGGTATCTGTATACAGATATCTCTTAAAATGAATGAGTCAAAAATAACTAATTATAAGTCATATTTGACTAATTGTCATAGCGAAAAAGCAGTCACTAATAATTAGTCAAATTCTACTGAATGAAATAGTCAAATTAGTAGATTTAAATTTAAAAAAAGTTTTGACCCAGCCGGGGATTGAACTCAGGTCTGTCATTTGTCAAGCTTTTCAAGCTGTCATAACCCATTCGACTATCAGCCGCTCTTATAAAAATCAATTTTATTTGTCAATAAATATTGTTCATAATAAGTTGAATATATTATTTGTGTTGCTGTTTTGAGCTAAACTTTTTGCATCTTGATTTGTTTTTATGGGTCATTTAACCATGGAGCTTAGGTATATGCATTTCATTCAAATAATACTTTGTTGTTGGCGGCAAACGATTAAAGAAATTAGTTACTTTTAACTCAGAAATAGTCAAAGATGGTGACTAATCTTAAATTAGTCAAGATTTAACTATTTACGTAGTAAAAAATAACTAAAAGTAAAAACAACTATTTTATTAGTAAAAAATGCTGGTACTAATTCAAATAGTAGAATTTTAAATATTTTATTTTTAGAGAGTAGAATGTATTTGGCCAGCTTGTCAGACGGATTACTGATTATAGTTTGGTCATGCATTTTGTTCAAGGCAGGACATGTTTAGGGCCAACTGGCTTATCCCTGTCGTGTAAGTTACTAGCCCCGAGTCAACTATATTGTGGCTCAAGGCCAGCAAGGAGGCCCTGCTGTCTGAGAGGATTTCTATTATTTTTTCATTTACATGAAGTTCTATTATTTTACAAACAGCCTCCACTGGAGGCCCTCCAGGCTAGGTATTTGGGGATTCTTTTATTCACACCTGATTTGGAGTGTTAAAATTTTAGCTTTCAGACACTCTTGTCCAGGACGCAGATATGGTTTGCTACAGTTGTTTAGAAAATGTAAAAGGATCCTCTAAATACAGTGGAAACATTAAAAGTATCATAAACAACAATTTTTACTATATCTACAAATCGAATAAAAAACTTACTTGCAATGGAAAAAAGGCGCGTAATCAGCATAACCAACCTGAAATCTATGGCCATGAAAATTCCTGAAACGATTGACATACTGTTTGATTTCCGGCAATTGACCGCCATCATAAATTTTCTTTAATGTTCCGGTGTTACGTCCGCAAAAATAACAGCAGGTGTACAAACCGCCGTTGTTCACGTTGTACAGAAAAACACCCGCAGTTTTTTTAAGGCCGTACTCAAACCACCGAAACTTTTTCGGCATTTGCAACCAGCTGTCAATTATAAAGACTGTGTCGGTGAATTTGAAATTATAAGGGTACTGCGTGTATATTTCGAATTTACTTAGGTGTTTAAGCACTACTAAGTTGACATAGGATCGCCCAGTGGTGCCTCGACCGAGTTGAAAATTATTTGGTATGTCGTGGTTCACTACATATGCACTTAGTGATAAACGGAATACATCGTGTAAATTCGGTGCTGTACTGTTGTCACAATGCAGTATCAAATACGAGGTGTTCAATTGTTTTACCACATCCAATGGGAATCTTCCAGTTACATTTGTATGGTAATTCAAAATGAATTTGTCATAAATGGATGCAAGAGTTAATACTGGTAAGCATATTAGGAACACTTTTGTTGGAAACATGGTTCAAACACTATTAAATATGATTCATATAATTAATATGGCTGGTGTGGGTTAAAGGTATTTAATGTTTGTTCACCATTATTTTTTGTTTTTTCGCTTAGGCTTTGTTTACAGGCTTTTAATTATTGTTCAATATTTTAGTGTCAAGCTTAGGCTACACAGAGAAAAATTTGTTAGATTAGGGTTCATAATTGTATGACTTTGTTCAACCAATTGGCGCTAAAAAGGTGACAGGAACAATTTGTGCTAAATTGTAGCAAATAATTGTAGTAAACTTATTATATTAAAAACTTACATAATTTATTTGACATTTGAACATATTTTAATCTAATTGGCTCATATAATTTGTGTAGATAAGTATTTTAGAGACATTTTTAATATAATATTTTGTGGTAAAATTGCACAAATTGTGGCACATAATAACACAACATTGTTATAATAATTTCTCCAATTTATTTAAAATTTTTAATAATTTTTGGGATGCGAGGGTGGTAAAAAGGAAAATAAGGAAAATAAAATACCTAAACTTAATATAAACTGACACTGACAAAATAAAATAAACATAACAAAACATAAACTACAAACTGAAAAATAAAATTCGTATAGCTAATTCTAATAATATTAAGATATAATTTAACATGAAGTGCGTCTCCACTTATAATAGTACTAATGTCGATAGATTAAATATGTATACAGCGACCAACACAAAAATGTTGTAAGGATAGAATTAAGTTAATACAAACTGAAAACATAAAATAAACATAAATTACAAACTAAACTAAATAGTAAAGCTACATTCGTAATGAATTCGCTGGCCGAGTGACACTTTGGCACGCAAGTCGGCACGAAATTTACCATTCACAATAACTTGAGTCGAATTTAACGCATGGGCGTTGGTAACTGTCATGTTCTTTGTAAGGTTAGAATTTGCATTATTTTGTTTTTGCTTGGTGTTATTTTTTAAATGCAAAAATGGACAACAATCAAGCAAATAGTTTACTTATGTTGTGTAATAGTTTATTTAGTGATACATTCTTATTAAAATGTGTTACAAAACACTAATGTTCTCTTTATAATAATAAATAATAATAATAATAATAATAATAATAATAATAAAAAACTAGTATACATTAAGTTACATACATACATACATACATACATTTACATAAACAATGGGTAGTTTATTTAAATAAAGCAAGAAAAATGTATTTAATCACATTAAAATTTTAAAAACACTACACACACAAAACTCAACGCCATTGAAAATGTCAAACCTTCATAACAAAGGCAATGCGCATGTCGCATAGCCGGCACGAAAGTCGAAGTTGAAGTCGAAGTTTGCAGCTTGCAAGAAATTTTGCCCACTTCAACTTCCACTTTAACGTCGAATTTCATTGTGAACGATCACACTGTTACACATTTGCTTAGCTTGTGAGTCAAATTGCCACTCGGCCAGCGAATTCATTACGAATGTAGCTGATTAATAATCAGGAAATCATTTCATTGGTTATCTTAGGTGGTGTGATGCTTCACACCCGAACAAATTGTCCAATATTGTAAAATTTATATTCTAACTCAAAATTATACTATACTTATACAAATTATTTAAAAAATTGTCAGTTGAATCTAACCTTAAAATGATACAATGAATTATAATAATTAGATATTAATAATCTATAATAATTATAAATAAATACACATTTCTTTAGCTTCACAAACTTTTTTTGTAAATGTAAATATACATTAAGTTGTATAGCAATGAGGCAACAATGTACTGACAGTCCCTCCCACAATCGCTTTTGATGACGTAATAATTGTTTGTGACATGCTGTCGCTAGACACCACAGCTGTGCTAGACACGTTAGCTGGTGCACTAGAGTCTGCGTTGAACATGTGTTTTTAAACCTAATGTGTATTTTAAAGTTAAAATAAAAATAGAAAAAGTTTCCAATTAAATGATATTATTTTTAGTTTTCAAAGCTCAGCGCTAAATTGCCTTTTAAAATTTGCCGAAATGTTTTTATATTAAAATAAACTTAATTAATTAGATTTTAAAAGTAGCTCAGGCTAGATTGGTCAGCGGGCTACGTCAGCACTATTTGATATATAATATATAAACAATTGTACCTGCATATATTAAGTGTTAAAAAATGTCGAGCAAGGTAAATTATGAAAATAAAAATAATATACTGGAGGATGTTATATATCGACCAATTTCCACGAATAAACAAGAGAAAAATGGAAGTTCGTTATATTTTTATGTGACTGTATTTATAGGTATGTAAATTAGATTTTGTATATTTTAATATTAATTAATATGCGGGTCACTTGGTTACATTGACATTCTTAAACATTTTTATGATATTCTTAAATATTTTTAAAAAATATTTTTTTTTAAATTTTTTTTGACATTATTATATATTTTTTTACATAACATTGTTTGTTATTGTTTATTAACCATTCTAAAATATTGGTTTTGACGTTATAAAACTTTTTTGACATTTTCAAATTTGCTTTGACATTATAATATTTGTTTTTGACATTTTAAATATTTTGACACTAAATATGGTTTTAAAATTTTTATACAACCTAACTTATACTTTTTGACATTTAAAAGTAAACTTGACATTTATAAACATGGTTTTGACATTACCATTGGTTTTAAATATGGTTTTAACAATATTATATTTTGACATTATAGAATTTATCTTTGTGAGTTTAAAATTATAAAATGTGGTTTTGACGTTATACAACTTTTTTGACATTTTAAATGTGCTTTGACATTATAATATTTGTTTTCAATATTTTAAATAAGTTTGACACTCCTAAATATGGTTTTATATTTGTTATAAAACCCAACTTTTGACTTTTTGAGATTTAAAAATAAGTTTGACATTCGTAAACATTGATTTGGCATTACCATTGAATTTAAAGATGGTTTTAACAATATTATATTTTGAAATTATAGAATTTATCTTTGTAAGTTTGAAATTATAAAATGTGGTTTTGACGTTATAAAATTTTTTGACATTTTCATATGTGCTTTCACATTATAATATTTGTTTTTGATATTTTAAATAAGATGGACACTCCTAAATATGGTTTTATATTTTTTATAAAACCCAACTTTTGACTCTTTGAGATTTAAAAATAAGTTTGACATTCGTAAACATGGATTTGACATTACCATTGGTTTGAAAATGGTTTTAACAATATTATATTTTAACATTACAGAATTTTTCTTTGTTAGTTTTAAATTATAAAAAGTAGTTTTGACGTTATAAAACTTTTTCGACATTTTCATATGTCGTTTGACATTATAATATTTATTTTTGATATTTTAGAATTTATCTTTGTAAGTTTAAAATTATAAAATGTGGTTTTGACGTTATAAAACTTTTTTGACATTTTCAAATGTGCTATGACATTATAATATTTGTTTTTGACATTTTAAATAAGTTTGACACTCCTAAATAGGGTTTTTAATTTTTTATAAAAACTAACTTATACTTTTTGACATTTAAAAGTAAACTTGACATTTTTAAACATGGTTTTGACATTACCATTGATTTTAAATATGGTTTTAACAATATTATATTTTGACATTATAGAATTTATCTTTGTAAGTTTAAAATTATAAAATGTGGTTTTAACGATATAAAAACTTTTTTGACATTTTCAAATGTGCTTTGAAATTATAATATTTGTTTTTGATATTTTAAATTAGTTTGACACTCCTAAATATAGTTTTAAAATTTTTATAAAACCCAACCTACACTTTTTGACATTTAAAAATAAGTTTGACATTCGTAAACATTGATTTGGCATTACCATTGGTTTTAAATATGGTTTTAACAATAATATATTTTGAAATTATAGAATTTATCTTTGTAAGTTTGAAATTATAAAATGGGGTTTTGACGTTATAAAACTTTTTTGAAATTTTCAAATGTGCTTTGACATTATAATATTTGTTTTTGACATTTTAAATAGGTTTGACACTCCTAAATATGGTCTTAAAATTTTTATAAAACCCAACTTATACTTTTTGACATTTTAAATAAATTTGACATTTATAAACATGGTTTTGACATTACCATTGGGTTTAAATATGGTTTTAACAATATTATATTTTGACAATATAGAATTTATCTTTGTAAGTTTAAAATTATAAAATGGGGTTTTGACGTTTGACTTTTTTGACATTTTCAAATGTGCTTTGACATTATAATATTTGTTGTACATTTTAAATAGGTTTGACACTCCTAAATATGGTTTTAAAATTTTTATAAAACCCAACTTATACTTTTTGACATTTAAAATAAATTTGACATTTATAAACATGGTTTTGACATTACCATTGGGTTTAAATATGGTTTTAGCATGGTTTGGACAATATAAAATTTATCTTTGTAAGTTTGAAATTATAAAATGGGGGTTTGACGTTATAAAACTTTTTTGAAATTTTCAAATGTGCTTTGACATTATAATATTTGATTTTGACATTTTAAATAGATTTGACACTCCTAAATATGGTTTTAAAATTTTTATAAAACCCAAATTTTGACTTTTTAACATTTAAAAATAAGTTTGACATTCGTAAACATTGATTTGGCATTACCATTGGTTTTAAATATGGTTTTATCTTTTTTAGATTCTTTTTTGTTTGTCTACCTTAAATAAAGTTTTGACATTTTTAATTTAAATTTTTTTACATTCTCTAAGATGTTTTTTTGATATTTTAACTCTTGCTTGAAATTATTAAATATGTTTTTTATAATCTAATTCTTAAAAAAACAAAAATGTAATTTAGCTTTTTTTAGTACTGCTTGTCACGTTCTCCGGCGGAGCATCATTCACCTGGACGTCACCAGTGCTACCAAAACTAGAAACCAAAAACCAAAACCCTTTATCGGAGCCCATTACAACATCACAAGGTTCACTTATCACAGGAATGCTATCACTAGGAGGGGTGTTCGGCACATTCATAGCAGGATGGTTATTGGATCGGTTTGGAAGAAAAATAACGTTACTTAGCATAGCATTACCTTTTTTCTGCACTTTTGTAGCGTTAGCATTCGCGAGATATGTCGAGGTGTTTTATGTGGTTAGGTTTATACAGGGGTTAAGTATAGGGGGAATATTTAGCTTTGTGCCGATATATTTGGGGGAAATATCGGATAAAAATAACAGGGGAATGATTGGTTGTTTGTTTATGGTGTCGATTTCATGTGGGGTGCTTTCTTCGTATGTAATAGGGCCTCATTTATCGGTGAAGACGTTTAGTTTGTTTTACTCTGTACCGTTGTTAGTTTTTTTGGTTTTATACAAGGTTTTGCCCGAAAGCCCGCTATATTTAGCTACTATTGGTGATAAAGTAAAAGCTAAAAGAATGCTGATGAAGTTAAGATCAAAAAATATCGAGAAAGAATTTATTGAAACTTGTATTTTCTGTGAAGAGAATACGGGTAGTTTCAAAGATGTTTTTAAGACGAAAAGTTTGAGAAGGGCCTTCTTCATTATTGCTGTTATTATAAACCTTCAAAATTTATCAGGGATCACAGTCATATTAGCATATACACAAAGCATTTTTAAAGTAACAGATAAGTACATGTCACCCTCCATAACACCTATAATTCTTGGGCTTAATAAGGCTGTCTTCACAATAATTTCTTCATCAGTTGTTGACAGATTCGGAAGAAAAATTTTACTCATTATTTCCATATCAACTTGTTGTGTATCACATATTTTACTAGCCACATTCTTCACCCTGCAAAATCACTATAGTTTGTCGCATATATCCTGGTTACCCATAGTAGGTCTCCTATCTTACATCACAGGCTATAGCCTAGGTTTATCCCCAATCCCATATGTTCTACTGGGAGAAATCTTCCCTACTAATGTAAAATTCCCAGCATCAAGCCTAATAAATTGCTTTTCCTTTATTTCTGGGTTTGTTACCGTCTTCGTTTTCCCCTTCATGATGAACTCCATCGGTTTGGCCGCGCCATTTTGGCTATTCGCCGTTGTTTGCCTGTTAGGTTTGGTTTTCATATCGTTTTATGTGTTCGAGACAAAGGGGTTGTCTTTCTTGGAAATATCGGAAGTTTTGAAGGAAAACTAAAAAGAATGAAATGCAACAAATACCATAAAATGCCTTAAGAAGAAAGCATGACACAGCAGACATAATTGTTAGTTGCTAAGCGGATAATGACAATTAAAGTATTTTATTAAGTAACTGGATTTTATTTAATGTAACTTTTAATTTTATTATGACCTAGCTAATCTTAATATTCTTATTTTCGCTTGATCTATAAGTATACAAGCAGCTTCATTATCTCCTCCACAGTATCTTGAGGAGGAAAACACCGTTATAATTTTTCCTCTTTGTTGAATCTTAAAAAAATTCATTTCGTATTAGCACATCATTTATGAACACCCTGTATCCTTACGTAGTATCCAGCTTGTACAACTTCATGAGCTCTTAATAGGTGAGTAAGTTTATTGGACTTCAGAAATCGATCTAGAGCCTCAGCGCTGAAGACATGCGCAGTACCTCTTCTTGAGTTAACTGCAAACCCCTCGTTGGCCATCAGTTCCATGTTAAGCTTATCGTTTACTTGTTTTGGTCTAAATTGTTGCAAGAATATTAAGAAAAACTATTTTTTTTTTTAGACACCTTTTACTTACTTAACAGGGTCATTCCACATGATTTCCCAAGCCAGTGAGCTCTGCTGATTCGGTTGATTCAATGGTACAGGTATATCGTTTATGGCAGATATAACTGGACATAACCATGGGGGTGGACAACCTCCATGACAACAAAATATCTGTAAAAATTTATTTTATTTTGACCAAGGTTTTTTGTTTAAGTAGACATTCCAAAATGGGGCCTGTTTTATAAAGTTAATAGGGAATCAGGATTTAAAAGGGATACAAGTCATAATTTTCGAATACCAAGCAGGTAAAAAGTTTGCTCATAAATCAACCAGGTGAGCAGGATAGTAATGGAGATATTTGCAGGATTGTGTGGACAAATAAGAGAGTAGGAAAAAGGGGTATGGTTAAATTCCTGCATCTGGTTGTAATAGGATAGCAGGATAATAAGGATTGTATCAAATGTTAAAGCAAATTTTCAATTTTGAAATGCACTAACCATATTCTGAACTCTTGATGATTTAATAGTTTATTTATTAGAATGATTACATTGTAAAAAAAATTTCGTTTATAATTAATTAATTAATTTGTTTGTTCTACAAAACTATGATTGATAGGGTTAAAATTTTCTCTCCTGACTGAACCAGGTTTGCAGGACTAAAAGGACCTTAAAAATCCTGTGAATCCTGCTGTTATCCTAGTCAATGGCAGAACGCAAATGACATGTCTACCCTATCAATATCATATGAGGAACTTCTATTCAAAACCAGACATAAAGTAGTTTTATAAAAACGCATTATATAATTTACATAGAGCGAAAGGCAAAAATCCTGCTGTACCTTTAACCAGATCACCAGCACAACAAGGAGTTTATAGACATGCAGGACACCCTGGGACGCACAGAATCCTGAATGTGCTGCTAACCTGTTACAGCAGGAACGAGAATTTCAACCATGCCCTTTTCCCAACAATCCGATTGGTGAAATCCATCTGGATTATCCTCGTGGAGTTATCCTTGAAAACTAAAGCGATACGCGTGTGATTTAGTCCTTAATTTCCTGCAAGCCTGATCATATATACCACCACAACCCTTTTACCTGCTATTTGCATGTAATACATCGTTTTTAACATAAATGTATGTAATGTAAATACAAACCGGAAATACGATAATTGTTTAGCCTTTTTGGATAGACAACAAGTGGGCATGGCACTTTCGTCCTTTCAATGAGTAGGAAAACAGAAAATTAAGGACCAAAACAACGATAAGCTGTTTCCAGAGAAACCTTTAAAATCCTGCTGACCTGGTGTAAGCAGGAACATGAATTTCAACAGTATCCCTTGTTCCTGCAATATGATCCATTTCCGGTGTGAAATTTGCATTATTTTTTTAATAGGATACATTTTACTTTAAATGAAGTAAAATATCAAACAATACAAAACAAAAAAAATAGTAAATAAATTATTATTGTCAAATTTATCAACGGTGTACGTAAATAATAATAAGGAAAAAATATATTTGCGCCACCCTATCATATCAGTTGGAAAAGTGGGCATGGCAATCTGGTTGTGCATTCCATCAGAAAAGCACGATATTGAAGAGGTTAACAATTATAAACTGTTCCTACAGGAATGTATACAATCCTTCTTATCATGCTAACCTGATTCAGATGGGAGCAAAAATTTCAGCTCCCTTAGTCTTGACCAAGTTGTAAGCTCAATTTCGATTAAATCGTTTTAAAGACTTTAAACTAAGCTATAACCTGTTGTTTTAAACAATATTAAGGACATTAATAAGAATAGGCACCTTGTTATCAACCACTGCGGCTATTGGCATATGATCAAAAGCTGTGTTCAAAGCGTTCCATAACTCAGCTCCCAATTTTTCTCCACACTTTAACATACACTCTCTAAAAAAAAAAAAATGTGCTTTGAAGTTAAGAGTCTTGATGCTCCGTTTTGTTATTTTCTTATGCGTACCCATAAAAAGTAAACATCTTTTGCACGTCCCTGATCTCATGATTCCCCCTTAACATGTGCACTTTGTCTGGATTTTGCAGCTTATAGGCAAAAAGGTATGCTATTACTTCAATACTAAAAGGACCTCTGTCCACATAATCACCCAACAATAGTATGTTACAAGGGCACAAATTCGCCCCTAAGTGCCACAAAGTCGCCTCGAAATGTAATAAATCAACTACATTGCCATGAAGGTCGCCTAAAAGTTATACAGGGGTGTGAGCACATATATAGGTGTAATTTATATATTTATATTTTTTCTTTACCTAATACATACAGTGGGGAACTAAGCTTTAAAAGCCTGGGCTCCTTCCGGAACACATCCTTGACCAAACTGGCGACAGATATTAAATTTCTCAAGAAAACTGTCGGGTCGAGTTGTCCCCAGTTGTAGCTGGGTTTTTCGTTTTTAGCGGGAGCCAAAAGCTTCTTGTTCAACGGGCTCAAATATCGCACCGCTTTGAGAACCTCGTTGGTTAAGGATTTCGGGCTGAATACGTCTATTGAGGTTCTTCTGCCAGGTTCCGTGCCTGGTGGTACTTTTAAAGTGTTCATTGAAACTGCCTCTGTGAAAAAATATGATATGATACCCTTTTGCTGCAATCATTTTTGTGGGAAATAAGCAAAATTACCTTGTACCCCATATAATTGTTCAACATTTATTTGGTTACTGTCCTTATTAATTTTGATTGTATGAACGGCCAGCTCAAAATCTTTGACCCATGCGGATCTTTGAACAGCTAAAAATTATTCAATAATTTATAAAAGTCAGTGAGGTTTACGAGTGGCTTTCAAATAGTTTTAATGTCCTTCGGCGGTCCGTTTCTACCCCTTACCCGCACAAGCCGTTCAGTTTGCTTCTGGGAACTTGTCTACAGGGTGTATTATTAAAATTTTATAATATAACTCACACTCAACATGCACAGGTGGTGCAGCAGTATGATGAATAGTTTGTGCTACTACTTTTCCACCTCCACCACCTGCTACTGGACCTCCTCCGCCTCCTCCTCCTCCTCCCCCTCCCCCTCCTCCTCCTTCCTTACCCCTTAAACAATTCATTTTTGAGATATTACGTGCGATATTCCCATATTAATTCTTATAGTTACGAGACGTATTTTGCTATATCCACCGACGATTTTAATATTTGTGGTAAGCCTTTAATTTTGCCATCTTTGGCTGCTTTTTGGAAATCGTTTAGTGTTACATTCGCTCCTTCACCCAACCCCATAGCTCTAAAACCAAATTCTGTTAAAACAGTTATGTATAATCGTATCACTTTTTAAGGAGAAGGTGGTTCCACATGTTCGAACGCTGTACGTTTGATACCGCAACGTTATCAGCCATGCCTTTCCCACCGTTGTCGAGCAATGACGTTGCGGTATCAAACTTACACCTTTTTCTCTAATTTATGTTACTTGTAAGTTTCGGTGGCTTCTTTAGTAATACTTCCTGCATCAAGCGGCAATTTCCTTGCCCTTCTGGAAGCAGTCATGAAATTCTTAAACTCTTCCGCTTTTAGTATGTTATCGGAATCCTTGTCGAAATAACTAACATTTAAACAATATTGCAATCAATCAATCTTACAATTTTTTTTATTAATCACCAAAATACGTATATGTCCCTTGGCTCGGTCAGAGGACCAACAAGATTCGTTTTTGGATCCAAAGCTGCTACAAGGTAAAGGAATTCTCTGAACGATATGCCACGTCTTTTTTTTATGTCTGCTCCCCTTAAATGACATGTAATATTTTTATTTTGAAAATAACAATATGGAAGGAAAATAATACAATACAAATATTTATAAATAGAATGCAGTAAAAGGGCAGGATCGCAATTCACGTTACCGACAGCTAGGTTAGCAGGAAATGCAAGATGTAACTTTACACAACAAATGTAAGTAAGGTTAAAAGTAAAACAAAATTCAAATAATATAATTAAATTTATATTTTTGGGAAGCATTATTTTATAACTCATTTAAACTAATACATTATTAAACACTGTAGTAAATCTCGAAATTAACAGTTCGGATGCGTTACCGTAATAACAATTTAAAAAGGAGGTTATCAATAAAAAGCACGTGTACTGCCCCACAAATAGGAGACCAGAAAAGGGGGCTGGTCCAAATCCCGCCATGTCACCAATCAGGATGGCAGGAATATGAGAATATCAAGTGTTTTATTTATTTTGTCATTTTTGCAATTTTTGTTTGCACTTTTATTTAACGATTTTCGCGCGGTTACTGGGCTACTAAAATTTCCACCTGTAGGTCATACGCCAATCACGGAGCGTCAAACAGGACAAGGTCGAAATTCCCGTGCTGCTTACAATCAGGATTCCAGGACTCTAAGGACTAGCAACATAAATTGTAACACACCGTACAGTGTTGATAATTAAAGAAAACCTTCAAAAGTTATTTTCCATTGCACAACCCAACAACTTTTAAGTAGAGTAATGCCAAAATGAGGAAAAATTAAAATACATTGAAAGATCATTTTGGAAATAAATTCAGTTTAAGTTAACAACAAAACGTTTTATTTTGATTTATCACGCTGCGAGGTCTTTCCACAGGTGTATACCCTTAGTTCCCATATTTCCTGCAATCCTGGTAGGTGGCAGCACCTGAATTTCGACCATGCCCATTTCCCTGCTCCCTGATTGGTGATCTCACACCTGTTGATAACATATATATTTAATACAGAAGCATTTTGAGCTCCAGCGGTTGTAAAACAGACTTTTTAGTCCACTAAAACAAAGGTTTACTCAACTTTTTCCGGATTTTTTCAAGCCAAAACAATAAAATCGAATCTACAGCTTTGCATCTGAATGTTTTTAATGACTTGGAATATCGAAAAGTCCTTTTATATTATTGAAATGCTGTGGAAGGAACTCACCGAAATAAATGTGGCGCATCTTCCTTGGTCCATCCAAAACTCGAAATCATCCTGGAAAAACTTTGAACTCCCAATAAAACACCCGGGAAAACACAAGATATAAAATCCTTATAAACAACCTCTTGCCCTGAAAATAAAAAAAACTATCTACTTTACTGTACTTTTTCAACTTAAAAATCCTTACTATTTTTGTTGATTTCAGCTGCAAATACCACATTGTCAAAGTTCGTGTCCCTTGTTGTAACAAGAATGTTTTCACATAATTCCAAAGCATTTCCTCTTAAAGTATTGCCATTTGGTTGGATGTAATTCGGAGGAGTGGCCCCTTTGGCCAGATAAAAAAATTCGTAAACTTCAGGAGTTTTTAGGCTTCTAGATGCCCACAAGTTTGTCAATTCTTGCTCGTTGACCTGAAAAATAATAGCAACTTTATTAACCAATGATTTAGAGCAAAAGGCAAGATTTCAGTTCTGCCCTGCATCAGGATAACATAACATCAAGGAGTACCTAACATAGAAATCCAGAATAAAGGATAACTTCTGTATCGTTTGTTATACATACGTTCATAATTATATACCTCCTTTGATAATTCTGATTCGCCATATAAAACAAAATGCGAAGTTCCCATTCTTCTATCAACAAGGATAGCAGGATTAAAAGGATGCAGGATGAAGGATAATAACAGTTTGAAAGGGCTACGTGATTTAGAGTTAAACGCGAACATTTCGTTCTGCTTTTGGTAAGGACTACAGGACTATGAGGAGGGTAACAAAATCATGCAGGACAGATTGGAATGTGTATTATCCTTGTAACCCTGCTGTCCTGTTGCAACCAGGAACAGGAATTTCAACCATGCCCACTTTTCTCGCGTTCTGATTGGTCGTGATCCTTTTCGAAGAAACACGTGGATTTATACTGTATCCTGTTTAGTCCTTTGTTCTCATGTTATCCTGGTTGAGAAGAGACCATAACCCTTTACCTGCTTTGATCGGTAGGTTGGAAGTTACCAACCTTTTTATTGCCTGCTAAGATTTTGTATGGATAGTAAAAAAAAATAAATGCATTAAAATAAAAAAAAATATTGACTAAAATGCAGTTTATCAAACTTAATACATTGTATACTATTATGTACAAACTGGTTTATAAGCTTTTTTAGACACTCGTTTTTATTAGATGCTAGCTCGCAAGCTTCGCTCGTGCCTAATTAAAACTCGTGACCAAAATACCTTCAGGAATCACCTGCCTTATATTATATACATGTATATTAGAACAGGAAAAAGGGGTTTGGTCTCCATTTCCATCAGGTTAACAGGATATCGAGAAGCATGTTCCAAGACAAAACCGTGGGGAATCCTTAAAGGATCAACCAATCAGAGAGCATATAAATGGGGTATGGTTAAAATTCTTGTTCCTGGTCGTAACAGGTTAGCAGGATAGCAAGGATCTATACAATTCCTGCGGGATAGGCAGGATCTTGTTAGAGTCCTTCTTGTCCTGTTAGCCTGGTTGGTAGCTGAATGAGAACCTCAATCATGTTAGATTTTAGCTCTTACCCATCTGATCTTTCCTTTGTATTTTCCTTGAGTATTTTTGGATTTGTTCTTTTCATCTGGTGTAACATTCATCTGGTAAACGCAGTTAATAGCATATGCCTTACCAGGCATATACACTTTTATTAGCCTTAAAATACTTTTTATAGGAACCTCTCCAACAACGTCAAACATTTCTTTGGCTATCGTTTGACTCCATGAGGTGTTTGGAGAAGTCTTTAAACATGGAATATAAAGCTCATTATTAATATCAGATGTTAGCATAATCGAATTATCATTCTGGCAATATACAACGACTGAAACAACGTCGGATATTTCGTTATATGATCGAAACATTTTAACTTTCGTAAATTTGTACAGACAAAAAATATTTATGACAGTTATAAGGAATAAGGTTATAAAATAATGTCAAATAAAGTATGTAAATGGGTGATTCTACAAAAGTTGGACAACTTGATGTCATCAGTCAATAGAGTAGGTATTTTAATATTTTTTGTAAATATTTTAGTACATTACAAAAGATCCAGGATTTTTTAACTTGTCCACCCAATTTTAATGTATTTTTTCAAAAGCACGTTTATAGGAAAACATAATAAATATTCAAAACATCAGTACCTTGCCGTGTCACAACTCCTGAATCAAATATTTGAGTGATTTTATTTTAAAAAATATTCAATTTATCATAAATTTTTCAATTTCACTACAAACTATAAAACATTAAATATTGTATTTTTCATATTTTATCATAGATTCGAATAATAGCAATTTTTAAAAAACTGATAAACTTTGTACTCACTTTTACCGTCAGTTCTGTGCCCATGTTAAAATTCAAAATTCCTGCGAAATATTAAAGTTTAAACGTCAAGCCCTCGTTTTAACTCAAGTGGTGGTAAAAAATTACCTACAGAGCAAGCCCTTTGCACGACAGTCATCTTGAAAACAATGCAAGCGGCGAAGTTGTGGTGAATGCACGTATAGTTCCAGTCAAAATTTCAGTACTGTGGTGAATAGTTATTTTCTTACGTATATATTTCATTGTAATTTATATAAGGCTATATGTGATTTGTTGATAAGTAGCATCCACTAATAAAAAATATCAGTAAAATACTTAATTCCGAATAATAATCTCAAATTTTTATACAATTCAGTACCGTGTCGTCAGTTCCATGTTCGATTTTTCGGTTATCTTTTTTTCGCAAACTTGTTTATTTAATGTCATTATAAACTCATATAAATTTGGTGTGGGTCCCATATCTAATAATTGAGATATCGGTATACCCAAAAGCCACCAGCCGCCACTGATGTGTGGTATTATTTGATTTTAAGATATTTAATGTATAATATGCTCAAAGTTGCAATAAATCTTATATTTTCCAATAAATTATGTATTTAATTAGTACCCTGGTATACTCGTCACTTCCCTTGCATTCAAATTTAGAAAACACAGATATTTCAGAAACTGTTTTCGGTCTGGAAGAAGTATATTTTTTATATTATCTATGTTGTCATAACAGAATACTGTTTAATTTTTTTCGAAAACTATATAAACAAAATGAGGTCAAAAGTTGCCCACCTTTTGTAGAATCACCCAAATATGGGGCAAAACACCTCAAGTGTTCCCACCTAAAAATGATGTTTTCTCCGATTTTAACAAAACTTCGCCAAATCATTGTCCTATTGGACTACCTTAATTTTCCAAATGGGGGGCAAAAAGGATTAGCGGGTTGCAGAGATACAGGGGCCTGAAAATTTGTTTTTTTTCTCGTGCGCTTAAAAGACGTCGAAATATTCATGTATATAATAATTTTTTTTTAAATTGATAATCAACATATCGTATAGCATTTTTTCCACGCTTTACGATAAAAATGGTCTCGAAAGCGAGAAAAAATTTTTTGGTTATAAAAAAACGATTATAAAAAAATATTTGTTTTTTTCTCGAAATGCGACACATTTGATTTTTTAAAATTAATATCAAAAGAAAGCTTTTTCAATTCCCTGAATTTTGATGTAATATGAAGATGGGATCCCAAGAATAAGTCGAAAAAATAAGGGTTGAAGCGCGTAGGGACCGTGCGGCGAGCAGCTACTATAGTATACCTATTGCAGCGGTGCTCGGTCTACTTAGTGGATTAATTGGAGAGGGTCAATACAACTTTTAAAATTATTTTTATATAGAAATAAATGTATTTTTCGATGTGTTTAAGTCAAAACTTGTGCGCCAATTTTTTTTTTTTTTTAGAAGAAAGTCGATAGAGAATTTAATTCTCTATCGACCTGCAAGTACTTGTACTTCTAACAAATTTAAAACTTTTGGCGCTTGTGTCGTTTTGCCTTAAACTCATCGATTTTATTGCAATAGTTCAAATTAATAGCAATTAAA